GGCAGGGTGGTTCTGCTGGGCATGCAGGTAGCCCATGGGTTCTAGACCTGGGGCAAGTCAATGTGCATGTGTGCATTTAGCGTCCTGGGAAAGGCACCTTCACATTCATCACATTTCACACCTACAGACACATAGGAGTGACTGGAACAGGCCCTGGGCTGGAGGGGTGTCAGGGGGCCGCCCCAATGCCGTGCTCCCTCCATGGGGATGAGATTGTCATGTCCACCCTATGCCTGGTCATCAGATCCTTCTGGCCCAAGGACACATCGTTGCTAATTAGCATGAGGACACTTTCCTGCTGCCACGGGCAGGGCTTGGCAAATGATCCAGGCGTGGGTCCTGAGCAGGGCCCTCTGTGACTTCAGACAGGCTGGGCGGGAGATGTCACATCTGGTTGCTGTGATAATTAGATCAGGAGCCACCAGCAGGGGAGGAAAGAGCTTCCGCTGTCCTCTGCAGAGCCACAGCAGGACGCCAGCAGCAGAGTTGACCTCAGATAATCCAGAACACGAGCCTGGGGGCCAGAGTCGGGGTTGGCTTGCTGTCCCTCCTCGCTGTGCTGGTTTGAGACTACGGATTCCCCGGCCCTGTTGCTACAAATCCCAGGCTAGTACTTAGGTTTGCATGAGGCATGCGGGTTGGGGGTCTGTTTTGTAAGGAGCTCCTGATGATTCTGATGCGGGTACCCAGTGCCCACATGAGGAGACCAATGCTGTGAGACCCCAGGACTCATCCTGGTCACAGCGGTGAAGGCAGGAGGGACTCCCAAGGGCCTCCTGGCCAGACCGGCCCCGGCCCAGCCCCCAGCCTTGTCTGGCACCTCTCACCTCATTCGTGGTGCACCACCACACGCGCTCCTTTCAATTCCTCAGAGCTCCTCCGATCTCAGGGCCTTTGCACATGCTGTTCTGACTGCTGAGCCGGCTCTCGTCCGTTTTATATGGACTCACCCCCTTTTAACCCAGGCTGTAGGCATCTGTCTGACACGTATGGAAAGATACACAGTCACCCATGTACCAGACAGAGACACGCACGTGTACACACACACACACACACATACACATGTGCTGTTAGCTTTGAGCCTCCTGCCCCTCCGGTCAGAACTCAGCCCAGTGAAGACAGGGACCATGCCGGCCTCGTTCTCTGGGCAGCACTTGGCGTCTGCTTGGGGCTTGGTGCTTGCTTGTTTCACTAATTGGTAGAAACCCAGACGCCAGCACCTCTGCCCCGTCTCCTCCAAAGGGAGCCTCAGCCCCAGCAGTGCTCTGGCCCTCACCATGACGCAGGGAGGGCTGTCTATGTTCTGGAACGGTCTTTCCACGTAAGGAGAGGAGCGAGGCCGGAGGAGCACAGTTTCTTCCCACGGCAGACACGCAGGCATCCAGAGCCACTTCCTTACAGGGACACGTGCATTATCAGAGCTCATTATTCCCGACTGGCTGCGTGGGACTCAGTTCAGAGGCTACGCTTGACTTTTTAGGGCTGGTGTTTCACACATGATGGATTAAGTCAAGTTCAGCCCATGAAATGAACTCAGATTTTTAAGTAAAATATGCTGAGAAATAAATCACCTCAACTCGTATTAAGACCTGACAGGAAAGAGATAGCCTCCATATATTTAAGGAGAATTTGCATGAGAACAATTTGTGAAAGGTGCCATTTTACCCCGTGGGCAGAGAGAAATAAAGCAGCAGTCGAGAGGCAGAGAGCCTGCAGCCCCAGCCTGGGACACGCTCCTCACTGACGCACAGTCAGCCCGGAGAGATCATGCAGGAACAGTCAAAACAGCAGAACCCTGATTTTATCGCCTCCCTGGTCAGATTGCAGGGCAGTGCTCACCAGACCCACCCCCGGCACAGCAGCTCGGGTCCCTGCAGATGCAGCCTGCTGAGGTTGGGCCGCGGGGAGCTTGGAACCAGCAGGAAGTGGGGAGGCCGCTGTGGGGAGCGTGGGAGATGGACAATTTACTCCACACAGTTTGAAGGAGGCATCAGAATGCAATCAAGAGAATTTTAAAGAGATAACCTTGAATTGCTCTAAGTTATTTACAAAGTGTGTAATGTGCACACATCAGCATTTTAACAATTATAGGTTGCAAAGTACTCACGGCACATCTCAAAAGCCCCGTGTTGCACTAGGAACATCCGAGAAGGTGCAGAGAAGATGTTTAACTGGAACCTAAATGACCTGCTATGTCCCTGACAAACGTTTCTAAAATATAAACATGTCCATGTGAAATAGTATAATTATCCACACAAGTATCTGTGACATCATCTGCATGTATCGTTTTATGCTCTCCTTCCACATCAGGGAAATAAAAACCATGATCCCCAACATTTGTTCACAGAATTTGTAATTGAGTGACCCCGAGGGCTTGTCACCTGCTGCATAAGCACCTGAGTGTGATGACAGCCTGTGGCGGTGGCAGTGACGGGGATACTTCGTACACAATCCCGCTGACACTCTTGAACGAATCGGATGATGGGCTTCGCGCCCACTTCCTCAGCCTGTTTCAGCCCTGTTCTCTGCCGCTTCTGTGGGAGACTGTGCTCCAGATACAGTGCAGCTCTGACTGTGACGGGGCCACAGAGTGTCAGAACGATACTTCTTCCGAGAACGACTAGGAGAGCTGGATTACATGCGATAAAAAATGTCCTTGTACATTACAATTCTCTGTGTGATAAACCACCCTAATATAACATCCATGGGTGTGCACACATATATTATCATATATGTGATACACATACATACATTCCACACATATATTATCATATATGCGATACATATACATACATTCCACACATATATAATGAACTACTCCATAATTTAGAGGTTTAATTTAACCAAAATAATTTCTTTTCTCGAGATCCCACAGCCAGGCACAGGGTCCCAGGAGGACATTCGAGAGGGTTAGGGTCCCCTTCCAGGAAGGGCAGGAGGCTCCCTCCAGCTGAGTCTCCCTCTGCGGGAGCCAGGTTCTGAGACAAGTATCTCAAAGCGAGTGTTCCTGGAGGCACAGCCTTGGCGCTGGTGCCTGTGTCTTTCCTGGAGCTGACAGGTAGTCACACAACCAAGGCAGGAGCCCGTGTGAGCGCAGAAGCAAAAGTGCCTGCACACCCATGTGCATCGTGTGAGTGTGCAAGAGTGCGTCAGCATGCAAGTGTGCACATGTTTGAGTGTGTGCACATGTGTGAGTGTTTGAGTGTGTGCATGTGTGAATGCAAGAGTGTGCAAGTGTGCATGTGTGCGAGCGTGTGTCGATTTACTTAACCAAAGAAGATAGAATTTGGGACCAAAGATCTTAGAGAAAATAAAAACGAAACGAGTGCAAAATTGGGCTGGATAGTGCTTCTTTTAAGTCATTCTTATGTAAATAAAATGGTTGAGAATCGCCAAGTTAATTGTGAAGAAATAGAATAAACATGGAGACTTCGCCACCAGATATTAAAGTTTACATCAAGTTCTGTTATTAAGACAGTAGAATAACGCTTGCAAAAACAGGCAAGTGGAGGCAAGGGAGAGAATGACATGTCCAGAGGCACATGCACACTCACACACACGCTCACACACGTTCACGCACACGCTTATATGTGTGTGCACACATTCGTGTGTGCACACCTGGCTCCTGCAGAGGGAGGCTCAGCCGGAGGGAGCCTCCTGCCCTTCCTGGAAGGGGACCCTGACCCTCTCGAATGTCCTCCCGGGACCCTGTGCCTGGCTGCGGGATCTCGAGAAAAGAAATTATTTTGGTTAAATTAAACCTCTAAATTTTGGAGTAGTTCATTACATATGTGTGGAATGTATATGTATATGTGCGTGTGCACACACGGACATATAGTAAGTGAGTGAATCAATCTGCATTAACTGGGTATCCATATTTCTAAAACGTGAACTTTGAGCCTTTCTTCCTTGCATACGTAAAATTCGCTGATACATTATGGATCTAAATGCAAAAGGGAAATTGTTATAAATTCTGAAAGCGAGCCCTGGGGCTGATGAACGGAGAATGCCCGTGTGTAGACTAAGCTTCTTTCACAGAAAAACACTCACTCACCATAAATTATTTTTTAAAGACAATTTTTTTAGCATTTAATTATGAATTTCTGGCCATGAACACACACCACGGAGCGGGGCGTTGCACAAGCCACAGGAAGGAGGGGATGGTTGTGGCCGATGAAGGACTCCGATCCAGGGTAAACATATTTCTCAGATCAGTGAGAAAAAGAAGGAGATCTCAATAGAAAAATGAGCAGGAGATTCAACAATCATTTTGCAAAAAATTGTATCCAAAAGGCAACGAGTAAATAGTTATATTCTGTGATACCTCAGGATTGCACAGAGGCCGCCCAGGGACACGGGCCTTCTCCAGACCAGATCTGACTCCTTACAGATCGCCTGTGAGATGCCTGGACAGACCATCTTCTTGCCAGGGAGAGGGACAGACCACAGGGAGAGGGACAGACCATCTTCTTGCCAGCAGCCGTGTGCAGCTACCAGGGTGGGGAGCACAGCAGATGCCCACGCAGGGACAGATGCCACCACCTGGAGGGCGGGTGACAAGGGAGATCACAAAGGGGACGCGCCCGCCGGCCCAGGAGGCATATCGGGAGAAAATGACCAGCTAGATTCTTGGGTGGCCAGCTCAGGCTTCAGGCACATAAGCACAGTCTCTAGGACAGAAACGGCCTCCCCTCCTGTAGCTACCAGTCTCTGAAGGCTGGTGTCTGCCCGTAAGCGCCCCTGAATCACGATGACCCAGAACGCTGACTCTGTTTGGGGTCTTCTGCCCAGGAGGGAGCTGGAGCTGATGGTTCAGGGCAAGAGATGGAGCATTTGGGCGACACACACGGGAGGGAGCCTTGACCTCTCCATTCCGGCTGGACACTCCTGCGGCCCCGGGGGGAGAAGGAAGCAGCCTGCCCAGCATTCAATGTCCTCGCTGGCAAGCTCTTGTGTGACTTCACAAAGGAGGGCTGACTCACAGGGTTGCCAGCCGCCCCCCAACAGCCCTGAACACACTTTCTTGGGCAAGAGATGGGTGGAGATGAGTCTGCTGGTCTTGGTTGCTGAGGCCTCCCCGGGGTCTGAGCGGTGCCCGAGACGGCAGCAGCTTGCTAGGTATTTGGCGACTGGATGAAGAAATGACAACAATAAAAAAAGAGTTTTACTCCTTGCGTTGCACCCTGGTCAGAGCGGCAGCGCCCCTGAAAGTGTGCATTCTGGGCTCGGGAAACTGGGGCTCGGCTATCGCAAAAATCATTGGTAATAATGTCAAGCAACTTAAGAAATTTGCCCCCCTGGTCAAGATGTGGGTCTTAGAAGAAACGGTGAACGGGAGGAAGCTGACGGACATCATCAACGAGGACCACGAGAACGTGAAATACCTCCCCGGACACAAGCTGCCGGACAGCGTGGTCGCCGTCCCAAACCTCGTGGAGGCCGCGGGGGATGCAGACCTGCTGGTGTTCGCCATCCCCCAACAGTTCATCCACAGGATCTGCGAAGACATGGCGGGCAAAGTGCCTAAGAGGGCGCTGGGGATCAGCCTCGTCAAGGGCGTGGACAGCGGTACCCAGGACCTGAAGCTCATCTCCGACGTCATCCGGGAGAAGGTGGGCATCGACGTCAGCGTGCTCATGGGGGCCAACATCGCCAACGAGGTGGCCGAGGAGAGCTTCTGTGAGTCCACCATCGGCAGCAAAGTCAAGAGCAACGGCCTTCTTTTCAAAGAACTCCTGCAGACGCCCAATTTCCGGATCACTGTGGTGGACGATGCCGACACCGTGGAGCTCTGCGGGGCTCTTAAGAACATCGTGGCCGTGGGAGCCGGGCTCAGCGACGGCCTGGGCTTCGGCAGCAACACCAAGGCCGCCATCATCCGCCTGGGGCTCATGGAGATGGTCACCTTCGCCAGGATCTTCTTCAAGGGCCGGGTGTCCACGGCCACCTTTCTGGAGAGCTGCGGCGTGGGCGACCTGATCACCTCCTGCTACAGAGGCCGGAACCACCGCGTGGCCGAGGCCTTTGCCAAGACCGGGATGACCATTGAGGAGCTGGAGCAGGAGATGCTGAACGGGCAGAGGCTCCAAGGCCCCCTGACTTCTGCCCAAGTGTATCACATCCTCCAGCAGAAGGGGCTGCTGGACCAGTTCCCCTTGTTCACCGCCATCTACCAGATCTGCTACGAAGGCAAGCCGGCCGGGGAGATGATCACGAACCTGCAGAACCACCCGCAGCACAAGTAGAGGGTCACCCGCATGCCATGGGACCGTCTTTTGGGTTCCAATAAAAACGGGGACTCGGCAACATGAGATTTTCGTGACTGTGGCCGTCACCTGGGTGTGTACGCAGTTTTGCAAGTTAGTTCTGAATTTCAAGAAGCGTTTCACTGATGAAGACGCACGGGCTACCGACGAGGTGCACGTGTGTGACTATGGGAGTGATTGTTTCTCATCCTGAAGATGTTTCTAGAAATCAGAATTAAAAGTTCTATTTGAAAGTGGCTTTTGAAATTTGTCCACTGCGGTAACTTACAAGCTTGGAACTATCTCAGCTAAAATTTCAAAGTCTAACTCACATGGTTGATGTAAACATCCAACCAGCACTGAGAGAGTGGGGTGCAGGCGGGAGTGGGGTGCAGGCGAGAGTGGGTGCCCAGAGCCACACTCTGAAACCTGTGAACACTCCAGCATCATCCAGCCCCGCCCTCTTCTGTGCCCCGAGGTTCAGTGGCTTCTCTGGCGCTGACTATGCGGGTGAGAGGGGAGATCGTTACTAATAAGCCCCTCTCCATGTCCACCGCGGGGACCTGCATTGCAGCCACCAGAATGAGCTCCCTAAAGCCAAGGAGAGCTACTGCCCCCCTGGACGGCAGGGTGTAGGACTCCCTGTCTGCAGAAGCTAGGCGTGCGCCATCCTTGGGCACTGACTTCCTCCCTGTGACACCCTCACCGGCAGCCTCGCTGCCCAAGGACCACCCTGCTGGGCACACCCCGCTGGCCACCGGCGCTACCAGGGAGCCCGTGGAGACCTGCCCAGACCCCCGGGTTCCTGCATATTTGCACGGGCTCTCCCGCTAGAGGTTAGTTTAGGGGATGTTTTCCCATCTTCATCACCCCTCCGCTCCCGCCTAGAGCCCCTCACTTTAAAAAGTGTCTCAACTGACTTGACTTTTCGGGCAGGTTTAGAGAATGTGTGTGCTACCAAGAGGCAGCGCCGGGACCCGGGCCGGCTTGGAGTCTCCGCTCACCTCCCCACCCCCGACTCCCCGCGTGTCCCCCCCAGCAGACTCCGTGGCTAGCGGCCTCCGGGCTCGGGACGCCCCTGCGGAGTTTGAGTAAGACGAGGTTGGTCAGCGAATGCTGGGTCCTTCCCCTTGTACGTCTGGAGACCAAAGAGAACTGACCGCAAGCGTGGGCTGAAAAGACCAGCGGATGAAGAACGTCTTTAAAAGCGCTCGGCAGTTGCTGAGCTGGGCCCTGACCACCGGGGCTCATCCTTGGACCTGCGGGGGGCTCCCTCCTCGGCGAGCGCGCGAGTCGTCAGAAATGGCACCCCCGCTGCACCGCGCACGCCTGCAGAGGCCCTTCACAGCAGGTCTGCTCTGTCCGGACCTTTCGGGGGGGGGGTCCTGGGGGGTCTCCATGATTCCAGGGGCTGTGGGAGAAAGGGAGAAACATCCTGAAGGAGGCAAAGCAGGAGAGAAGGGCAGCAGACAGCCCCGAACAAGTGTCGTGGAAGCATGATTGACAGACAGCTGTGCTCCCCTAAGGGGCACATCCTGAGACGACCAGCTCCAGCCAAGAGACAACCGCGCCGCCGAGGTGGGCGTCAAGCGGGTCCATTGTTACTCGCAGCTGTTGGATGGGGCTCCTGCCCAGCCTCCTCCCGCCCTGCTGACCAGCACTGTCCCGAGGGCCCTGCTGAGGTGCTGAAAGCTGACTTCACCTCCTGGGACACCACCGTCACCCCCGGTGACAACATCACCTCCCGGGACACCACCATCACCCCCCCCCCACCCGTGACGGTCAGCCTGCCCCCAAGTCTCCTGGTCCCCGCCCCCAGCTGTGCCTCAGGCGAACATTCTATTTTCAGTCTTTTCTCCTCACAATGCATCCGGTGACCCCGCCTCTTGTCCAGGGCGTCAGCTGTATGGCGAGCTTGCATCATTCTCCGAAGGGGCCGTGCAGGTGAACCTCTGCAAACGCAGTGACAGCAGCCTCAGGGTCAGCGTCGTGAAGTGAACCACATTCACAGGCTCACAGACGTGTCTGTGCAAACACGCGCGGTGCCCTGGTCTGTAAGTGGCCACTGTAGCAGCATCTGAAACAAGTCTACAGATGCCATTAGCCCCTCTCGGGGATGGAGAGGCAGTGGTTCGCTGGACGCACACAGACGCAGCAGAAAACCCCAGGCAGCCCCTGTGCCCAGACTCCATCTTCCTCCTCCCAGGGCAGGAGCCACAAGGAGAGTCAGCAGGACTCCGGAGCCCTGCCCGGCCACAGCCTCACGCAGCTCACGCAAGATTATTTTTTTCAAACCATTTTTAAAGGCTTCAAGTGTAATAGGATACGCTAGTGCAGACTGAATTCTAAAATGCCCAAAGTGGGCTTCCCGGTGGCCTAGGGGTTGAGCCTCAGGCTGTCACCACGGCGGCCTGAGTGTCATCCTGGCCAGGGAGCTACCCACATGGCGCAGCAGACCTCTCCTGTCTCCCCGCTGCTCCCCTCAGCAGCGTATTTCAGTGGCTCTGCCTGTTCTGCTCCCCGCTCTGTCTCTGGTGAGTTCTTTCACCCCCTGCACCTCTGGCCTGTACCCCTGTTCTTCTAAGCAAAAATAAATAAAATAAATAAATGTTGAAAGTAAGAAACCATCCTTTGAAAGATGTAAATCCCTTCTATGCCCTAAGAGTAGACCACACTGAGCATTTTTAGAGCAGATTAACTTTGTTCTAGAAAACTTACTACTGGCCAAGCACACGTAGAGAATTTCTTGTCCTCGTGTCTTGGGGGAAATTTTTAATTCAGCAAAGTGACCCAAATGTGCTCCCTGAGACGCGGTGAGGAAGAAGTTGTGGTGCTGAGTTATAGGAATTAATTGGACGCAGTAATTAGATATAGAGGAAGAATTTTTTAGACTTTGTCGCTTTGGCTGTAGAAATGGGCCTTTTCTCTGCAGGCGGTTGGGTCCCAACGGCCTTAACGTACTCGGTGTTCTGGGAGGGTTGCTCCTCTCACGACAGCAGTTTTGAGGTGAGATCCCGAGGGCCCCAGGAAAAGTCCAAGACGCACAGGGTCACCTGAGGCTGGGGAGGAAGAAAGTGATAATCACCGCAGAGCTCCTGCCTGCTGAGCGCCAGCGGCTGCTCCGTTGGCCTCTAAGTTCACAAACAGGATAATTTAGACTTTTAATCACGCCATGGACCTACCCTTAACCCCAACCCAGCGGGCGAGCACGGTCAACTCAAAGGCCCTTAACGCACAGCTCAGCGTTCGGGACCTCCGGGCGCAGCGCGCAGAGCGATCTTCTCGGCATGATTTCCCATCTCAGCCGGAATGTGCTTCCCGGGCCCGGTGCGCCCGCAGCCCCACGCCGCATGAGCTTCCCGCGCGCCCCGGGAATGACCTGCCCCCTCTCCATTTCTCTTGGTCATTCACAGGGTACGTTAGGCACAGCTCTATGAGCGGCTTTCAGATTCCTCCTGCTCTGACTCTGGAGCCACACGGCTCCTTCCCCCGCGTGCCACATCCTGCTGCCACAGCGAGTCACGTTCCGGAAAACAGCGCAGAACGAGGCAGGAGAGCAAGGCGGTTATTCGAGTCTGCTCCAGCAAAAGTGCTAACATTAAAATCTAGATTTCACCTAGAAATCTAGGCTGGCGATGTGATTTTCGGCAGTTGAATCTGTCAACTTCAGTTCCCTCTTTATACACATGCAACTGACCCTCATAGCTCCTCTCAGAGTTATAAATATTCCCTATCGCGAGCGTGCAAACATCTGAGCACAGTGCCTGGTGCAGAAGCTGTGCTCAATCCCTGTCCACCGTCATCACCATCCCCGCCGTGGTAGCCTCACCCCCTCCAGCAGCAGCAGCAGCAGCACCAGCACCAGCCTCACTGAAGTGGAAAATGCCAGGCTGACCTGCTGATGAGCTGGAGTGGGATGCAGCCTGCAACTGAGAGTTTCAGGGAACAACTGATAAGCGCCCTCCAGGCCACACGCACCCTGATACATGCATTCCCAGCTGGCTGTGCCCCTTGCTTTAGCCAACAAATACTCTGTAGTCTAATTGCTCAGGGCTCAGACTTTGGGGCGAGATCTCCACTGGGCCTGCCGGGTAAATAAAGCTGGACCTTCCAGGAAAGTCTATATAAATTCATTATTTAATACAGGAGCTTCTTGCTACATGTGGTGATGGAGCATTTAAAATATGATGTAAAATACACACCAGATTACAAAAATTTAACTTTTTAAGTGTTAAAAAACTCATTAATAATTTATATTAATTCTAAGTTTAAATAGGTTCAACAAAATGCATCTTTAAAATTAACTTCAGTTTTTTTTTTTTTTTTTTACTTTTTAAATGTGGCTATAGGAAAATTAAAAATCAGTCTTGGGTCACACCGTACTTCTGTTGGATCGGGCTCTGGAGACCAAGGTGAGTTTAGATCTTAAACCTCCCAGCAGACTTCCCCTTCTGTTCGTGTTAGTGGAGTTCGTGTTCCTCTTCCTCAGCAGAGAGCGCTTCCTTGGGGCTAGCAGCCCCTGAGGACCACAGGTGCCCCCACCCCTTGCCTGCTGCTCTAAGACTTCCAGTTCAGTGATGGCAGTGGGCATCTCTGCCCGAGCCCAGCCACAGAGGAGAACAGTAAATATTTGACAATTACTTGTGCCAAAAGCTGTGGTTCTAGCTGCCCACCTTGCCCTGATGGAGCTTGTTATCTTCTGTCTCTGTTTGATGTGTCTTGTCATCAAGAATAATTTTAGACTGTATCAAATAATTTTTATTCTTTCATTAAAAAGATCATGTGATTTTTCTTCTTAATACTCTTACTTTGGTGAATGATATAGATAGATTCTAAGTTCTGAGCACATTCTAGTCCCGAGATAAACCTCGCTGGGTCACCTGCTATCCATGTTTCCAGATTCATTCCAGTGATATTTTGTTATGAATTTTTGTGTCTCTATCCCACGACTTCTCCTCTTCCCTTCCTGCTCGACATGTCACTCCTCTGTTTTACAAACCCCCAAATACCTTGGTTTGGTTTGCCTTCTAGAGTCATTATGTTTTAAAGAAAAAGGTATAAGATGATAAGTAAGATTTTTCATGTATTTAAATACATGTTTATAATATTTGCTGTTCTTTTATTTTTTGCATAGATCTGAGCTTCCCCCTATACCTCTTTTACCAGATCCTTCCCACATACCTCTCAGCAATGTCAAATCCCTGCTAATTCCCCCTCGGGGCTCTGGTGGGTCTGCTTTTAATTAGTGTTGTG